AAAAACCCCCCCCCCAAATTTTTGCGACAGGGCCCGGAACGTGCGTAGGGAATACACGAAAGGCCCCCTTCCCAAAAAAAACCCCTCTTTTTCTTTTTAGTCACTTTCTGCTGGGGGGATTAACCCCAAAAAAAAAAGCCACCTTCCCTCTCCCATTTTTCCATCCTTCCCCAAAGGGAAAAACCCCCCCCCTCCCCCCCCCCCCCCCCCCCCCCTCCCTTTTATGCAATTTTCAAAAAAAGGGGGGCCCGCCTCCCTGAAAACAACCAAAACCCACCCCCCTTTCCCTTTTAAAAAAAGCTCGGGGGCGGGGAAAAACATAAAGGGCCCGGGTAACCCGGGGGGGCCACTAAAATTTACACCCAAACTTAAAAAAATTTTGGGTTTCCCCACAAAAAGCTTACCCTTTAAAACCTTTTTTCCTTTTTTCAAAAAAAAAACATCCCCTGAAACACTTTCCCCTTTAAACACCCCTTTCCCCCAAAAGGCCCTTAATATTTTTTTTTTTACAAAACCCGAGGGGCCCCCTAAGGTTTTTCCTTTCCCCCCCTCAATGTCAAAAAAATTTTTCCCCTTTCAGGGGGGGGGGGGGGGGGCTGGGATTTCCCCCCGGGGGGGGGGCCCGTTTCCTTTGCCACATTTTTCCCCCCCTCCTTTCCCCAAACCCTCCCCCCCCCCTTTTTGTTTTTTGGCCCTTTTTTCGCAGGGGGGTTCCCAAATATGGGGACCCCGAAACCCATGTCCTTTTTTCCCCGGGGCCCTTTTTGGCCGGTGTAGAAACAAACGCGAAAAACTGACGCTGCGGGCCCTTTTTTCCCCGTTTCCTCCCCTTTATTTTTTCCCTAAACTGAGGGCCCCGGGGGCCGGGACAAATGGGGGCCTTTTCCCCCCCCCTACCAACCCCTTTAAACCCCCTCCCCCTGCCCCTTTCCCTGGCCCCTCGCCCCTGCCCCCCACAAAGGGGGCCACCTGCTCCCCCCCCTTCCCCACCCCCCAAAACCTTCTACCCTTATTCCCAAAGGGGCTTGTTCGCTTTTAAAAATTTCCCCCCCCCTTTTGAGATGTAACCCTTTGCCTTATCACCGCCCCCCAACTCCCTTTTCAATTTTGGGGCCTTTTTAAATGCTGCGCCCCCCTGTACCCCCTCAAAAATACAAAGTTTTTTCTGTTTATGGGCCGGTGATTTTATGGGTTTACCACTTTTTTTCCGAATCCCCAGGGGGGGCCCCCCACCCAAATTTCCCCTTTTCCCAAATTCGGGCCACCCCTCCCCCCTTGCACCCGTTTTTCTTTAGGGGTTGGGTTTCCCTTTATTTCTTTAGGTTTCTCCCGGGGCCCCCTTTCCGGCCCAGGACCAAATGTTTATGGGGCCCGGGTTTAGTCATGGTCACCCTTCCTTCTGCCGATTTTCCAACTGGAGGGAAGGGCCCCTACCTTTTTCAAAAATTTCCCCAAAAGCGGGGGGGGGCCAACCCCCTTTCCTTTCCTTTTCCCCCGTTTTTTTGCCTTTTGGGGGGTTTTGGGTTTCCCCCCAATTTTTGCCCGTTTCTCCGGCCCCTTTTCCGGGAAAAGGGGGCCCTACTCCCCTTTCCACAGTCTGCCCCCCATAAAAGGGTTTTAAAAAATTCCCCCCCACACAGTCGGGCCCCTACGGGCCCTTTCCCCCCGGCCCCCCCCTACCATTTAAAACCCGGGGGTTTTAAAAAAACTTTTGGGGGAATATACATTTCGAGGGTTTTTAGGATGCCCAAGGGGTTTTATTTTTTGGAAAAATTAAAAGGGGGCCCTCAAAATCCTGTGTTTAAACACCTTTTACCCAAATTTTCCAGGGTTGGGGAAAAATGTACCGTTTCCAAAACGGTTTGAAAAAAAAAAAATTTTGAAAATTTTACCCCATTTAGCCTCAAAAAAAGGGCCCCTTGGCCCGGGGGCTTAAACCCCCCCGGGAAAAAAATAATGGGCGGAAGGGGCTTTTAATCCAAAATTTGGGGCCCTCCCCCTGCCGGGGTTTTTCAGTTAAAAGGGAGGGGGCATCTTGGTTAAAAAAGGGGTTTAAAACCAAAAAAACCCCGTTAATTTCTTTTTAAACAGTTTTGCATTTTTAAAGGAAAAAAATTTGATATTAAAAACCGGGTTTTTTGGCCACTCCAAAATAAAAAAACCTCGTCTCTTTAAAGCCATTGTCTCTCGTATTTTTTTTTGGGGAATAAAAAAATCACTGGGCGTATGTTTTAAAAACCCCACTTAAAAATTTTAATTTCCCCCAGTATTTTAATTTTCCTTTCGAAAAACCTGGGGGCCTTTTCGTTGGGCTGATTTTTGCCTTCTGGGTTAAAAAAAGGAAAAGGGGGGCAAAGCACGTCCGCCAAAAATTTTTCCTCCCCCAGAAAAGCGAATGCCCCAAAAAACCCCCTTGGACCACTGGGGTCAGGGGTTTCTGAGGAAAAACGTCAGGGGGAAAGGGGGGCTGGGGACGGCCCCCAAAAAGCATGCAGCAAATTTATAAAATACTACGGATTTTTTTTTTTTTTTTTTTTTTTTTTTTTTTTTTGCAAAAAAATTTTTTTTGGGGGTTTTTTTTTTCTAAAAAATTAAAAAAAATTTTTGGGTTTTTTAAAATTTTGTATGGCTATTTAAAAAAATGGTGGTCAAAATTTTCAAAAGCCCCCCAATTTTTTAACTTAATTTTTTTTAATTTTTTTCAGAAGATGCCCCGTTTAAAGTAAAAAGGGGCCCTAGGGTTTTATTTTTATCTGGGGGGAAAAAAAATTTTGAAAAACTCTTAACCTTTTTAAAATTTTTTCTTCCCGGTTTTTTATTTTTTTTCTAAAGGTCTAAAAATACAGTATTAAGGGAAAAAAAACTTTTTAAAATTTGAATTTTCAAGCTACTTTGGGTTTAATTTTATAAAAAAAAAACCCGTAAAAAAAATTGAAATTTTTCTAGTGAGCCGGGAAGGGTGTGTCACTAGGGTTTCTTAAATTTTTAACACAAAAAAAAACGAGATAAATATATGGCCCTTTTTTAAAAAAGTAAAATGGGGGTTGAAAAAAAGGGAAAATCAAGGGGTAGGAAATTTAAATGAAAAAAAACAGGGTTTTAGGATTTGTTTCTCCTTTGTATTAAAAATTTACATAGAAAATATAGAGGTTTCTTTTTTTTTTCAAATTTAAAAATTTTTAAGCTGCGGGAAAAAGGGAAAAACCTTTTGGGGAAAACTTCAGGAAAAGAAATTCCAAAAGTTTAAGGATTTTTTTTGAGCAACAGGGGTTTCTTTCCCAAAAAGGTTTGAAAAGGTTTTGGGGGGTTAAATTTATGGGGGGTTGCCACCCAAATTTTCCCCTTTTTGGGTGGGTTTAAAACGGGGCTTTTGGGAGATTCTGAAGTTGCAAAGGTTGGTGGACGAATTTAGAGGGATATGTAAGACAAGGAAATTAAAAGTGAATATAGGAAAAAGCAAGGTGATGAGAGTAATACAGTATTTAAGTAATGGAAGATTGGAAAGAGGGAGTATGGAGGAAGTGAATGTGTTCAGATATTTGGGAATGTATTTGTCGGCGGATGGGTCTATGAAAGATGAGGTGAACCATAGAAATGACGAGGGGGCAAAGGGAATTGGTGCACTGAGGCATCTGTGGAGACAAAGAACGTTATCCATAAGAGCAAAAAAAAGGAATGTATGAGAGTGTAGTGGTACCAATGTTCTTATATGGGTGTGGCAACATGGGTGGTGAATGTTGTCGCGAAGAGGATGCTGGAGGCAGTGGAGATGTCGTGTCTGAGGCCAATGTGTGATGTGATTATTATGCATAGAATTCGTAGTTTGGAGATTAGAAGGAAGTATGTGGTTACTCAAACTATTATCCGGAGGGCTGAAGAGGGGTTGTCGAGGTGGTAGTATTTATAGTAGTATATGTATTTATAGTATATATGTAGAGTATTTATAGTAGTATGAGTGAACATTATGTATATTGAATAAGTTTAAACTTTTAAAGAGTGGGAACATGTGTTATCTAGCACTAGATTGGTTGATCGTTCGTAAGCCTCTTTTTGATGAGTTATTATTGGCGTTAGGTAATATGCTATAGAAGATCCCAGGCACAAATACCATAGATGAGATAATGATAGATCAGAAAGTAGATACATAGTAGCGCATCTCAGAGAGAATGCCTACTGACCTTTATTAAGTATTGGATGTTAGTGTTGAATTTTAAATTGCTGTCAATTTATAAACCTATGAATTTTCCCTTGTTTTGTCTTACAGTGTGAGAACTGTTAATCATTATGTTTAATTGGACATTTGCAGCTGTGTTCCCAGACATTATGTAGGTCTTGTTAATATTAAGAGTGAGTTTATTGGTAGTCATCCAAGTAGATGTCTTTATGAGCTCCTCATTAACCGCATTATTGAGAAATTCATATTTAAATGGGAAATGACAAAAGCTATGGCTTCTACGAACAGAACAGGTTTAAGTGCATGAGGTACACTGGGAAGGTCATTGATGAATGTGAAGAAAAGCAGAGGGCCAAGAATACTTCTCTGAGGCACCCCTATGTTGATTGGTCGAGTTGATGAGGTTATGCCCTTGATGGAGACATATTGGTGTTATGATGCAGGATGCAGGATATTGTGGTCTTCTGTATCAAGTGCTTTCCTAAGGTCTGTGAAGAGGCCCATTGGATATTCATTGTTTTCAAGAGGTGCATAAAGTAAGTCCAGTATTTTTATAATTGCAACATTTGTACTTCTTCTTGGCCTGAAACCAAACTAGGACACTATGAAAGAGTATCCTCACTTATGAATTACTTTTTCGAATATTTTATATAACAATGGCCGATTAGATATTGAGCTATAGTTATTTACATAAGAGTAGGAAAATTCTGAGGATAGGATGTGTATTATTATTATTATTATTATCATCATCATCATCATTGTCGTTATCGTTATTATTATTATTTAGTAGTAGTGTATATAAATTAACAATAAGATTGTCCCGCAGGTAGCCGAGGATCCTAACATGGGCCCCGACTGCCCCAGGTTAGGGGACGAACCTAGCTTTATGAAGGAGCAACCCAAGAAGAAGGTGGACATCCCAGGTCACAGGGACACCAAGGAGGTCATGGCGCAACTCACGGCAGAGAAGCGTAAGGAGGAGAAGAAAGCAATCAAGCATTCTCTCTACCAGTGAGGAAGAAATGAAGGAAAGATAAAGTAGAAAGGGAAGAGGTATATTCCTAGAGACAGGATGCAGAGGAAATAGGAAGCCTCAGGTTTATGCAGGGCCAATTCCCATTTTGGATAAATTTTTCTAAGCGAATATTAAACTACAGTATTCTTGGTTTCGGCGAGTAGGCTCTTCCATGTTTCTTACTCTAAGACAATTTCCTGTATGTTGTGCACACCGGTTTGTCGAGGCTGAAGCTGCCTATTTTATATGTCACGTTGGACCTTTCAAAGAAGTGCATGATGACACTGACTTTGCAAGTGTCATGATGGGATGAACGTAGGGAAACGTACAGGAAGAGAGAGATGTGTTTGGCAAGGAATTGATAAACACAAGCATGGTAGGTAAACATATAAAAAAAAAGAATGAAGGGAGGCAGCAAAAAGTGGGAAGCAGGAGAGAGAAGTACTCTTCATTTTTTTTAAATCAGAGTTATGGATGCGTAGAATATTCAAAGCAGAAATTGAAGTAAGTACCTTGGGTAACTTTCAAAAAAGTTTACATAAATACATAAGTGTGAGTAGGACTTGTCAATTATGGGTTAGTAAGCTTGCTACTATTTTTCTATATTCTAATGTTCTAGATTCATCATTGCATGCTGACATTGGATCATACTGTGATACCAGACTATAATAACAAGAAAATTCGATATTTTACGCGAATGACTTTCCGAAATATCAAGAAAAGTTAACTTGACTCCTGTATACCTGGAGTATACAAGAGTGAAGACAGTAGGCGAACAGGATGTGAGTAAATACAATAAGCACCTTCAGCATTTATATTAGTCAGTTTTTCTTACACGTCGTGGCAGAGAAAGAGAGAGAGAGAGACCCATTACTCTAGTGATGATTAGGATTTGTAAGCTAGCACAATATATGTATGGCATCCTATGTTTTGTGTAGTCATTACGGCAGAAGTACAATAAATATGTATCGAGGATACTGTAAACAGCCTCGGAGCTGAAATTAAACGGTGTTCTTACTATGATAATTGGAACTGATTATTATTATCAGAGGAAAAACGCTAAATTCATAGGGCCATACGACACCTGAGGAATGGGAGTTTAAAAGGTTTGATCCAAGGTATTCTCTTGAAGTGATTTGGAAATGAAGATGAGGAAGCAGTAGTGTTTATACTCGGCAGTGTATATAACGTTCTAAAACTTCTCGTGTTCTTTACTTTGTTGAAAGTTAGTTGGGTAGTTGTTAGTTGGATGAATCTTAATTGATATTTAGTTAGTTTGACTAGTAATTGTTTGACTTATAATTGCAAGTTGACGAACACGGTTAACAGTTAATTAATTTACAGGTAGCTGATGGGTGAGTAGTTGTCTCGTACTTACAGTAGTTAGCCAATTCTTGTCCGACTCGTAGTTAATGCATAACAAACTTATAGCTTATGCTGACTCCTCAGGTTGTTGTTGCTTTTAAATGGCAATACTAGCTTGTTGAATGACCTCTTACTTAACCTACACATTAACTAGTTAACTCTAGGTTCACTGGTTTACAATTAACAGCTCCATTAGATCCGTCGCCCATTTATAGCATAGAGCTGTCTTTAGCTTTTCATGCTCGTATCCGAGCCCAATATTCTGTACTCAAGCCTTGTAGTATATATTATACACACTAGTCGTAATTGATTCTGTGCCACAACTCCATCCGGGCAAAATGCTACCACGTATCTTCTGCATAATTTTTTTTTTTTCACCACGGCACTAATGAAGCAACTTTGCTGATTCAGAAATGCCTTTGTCAGCCGTTTCCCTATTTCTAGAGAATGTTTTTGATATGTCACGAAAGCTTTGACAGTTTGTATATATATATATATATATATATATATATATATATATATATATATATATATATATATATATATATATATATTATATATATATATATATATATATATATAATATATATAAAATATATATATATATATATTATATATATATATATATATATATATATATATATATATATATATATCGTGCCGTATAGGTAAAACTTGTATTTTGGCTTAAATATCAACGCTCTTCTTGCCGAATAAGGCAAGCGAAAATTTGTGTATGCAGTAATTTCGCAAAAATTATTCTGAACCTAACGAAAAAAAATATTTCATTGTGTTTGTTTATTATTAAATTATTGTAAAATTATCTAAAATATATATAGTTGGATTAGGCTAAATTAAATTACGTTTGTTATGATAAGGTTAGGTAAGTTTTCTAATATTCTTTCTTTTGGCACAAAATTATTAATTTTTACACTAACATCAATGAAAAAAATATATCTTTAAATTTACAAGAGAAAATTTAAGAAAGGACTTAATTTTAAATGAGTTCTTACTAATTGACCAATTGTGGAAATTTTTTTTACATAATTTCCTAAATGTAGAACATATAAATAAATAATATAATAATCGTGTAATAAAATATGATTTTGCTTTGACCCTTCGAGAAATTTCGAGTGAGGTGGGAGGTAATTAAGCTGCTGAGGAACGCCGGGGGAAGACGCCATATTGAATTTAATTGTGTAAGGACTGGTTGGAAATTTGCACCAGGAATTCGGCGTTTTCCGAAGCCTAATGGGGAGTATCAGCCTCAGTTCGTAATAGGAATTCGTGTTAATGTCCCCTGCTGGAAAATTAGGACAGGAAATTTACGAAAGCACCATAATAGGGTGGTGAGAATGGAAAATGAATGATGCAGTGTCATCTCGCCTCACATGGGAGTACACCAATCATTGTATTTAGACCTAGTTGGACAGTGTAGGATCTAGATAGGCAGGTGTTGTGGTGTCATCCATTACATTAATTAAATGGTGAGTGGTAATATAAAGTTCTTTGTACTAATAGTTATATTTTTGTGTATCCAACAAGCAGGCTTAATATACAGTCGGGTTTTAATATTATAATTATTAATTTAATATTACGTCTACCTTTTTGTGAAAGAGATGTGTAGAAGTAGGCAATCGAAGGAGTCTCAGTTCTGTGACCTACTGTGACTTAAGTCCCGCTTACCTCACCAAAATTACTTGCAGGTAATAATTCAGGTGATATCCTGTAAACCTGCAAGTGATTTGGTTTATAATAATAATAATAATTTTACACCAGTTTTACCTATTCGGCACGATATATATATATATATATATATATATATATATATATATATATATATATATATATATATATATATATATATATATATATATATATATATTTAAAACAAGTCGGCCGTCTCCCACCGAGGCAGGGTGACCCAAAAAGAAAGAAAATCTCCAAAAAGAAAACACTTTCATCATCATTCAACACTTTCACCTCACTCACACATAATCACTGTTTTTGCAGAGGTGCTCAGAACACAAGAGTTTAGAAGCATATACGTATAAAGATACACAACACATCCCTCCAAACTGCTAATATCCCAAACCCCTCCTTTAAAGTGCAGGCATTGTCTTCCCATTTCCAGGACTCAAGTCCGGCTATATAAAAATAACCGGTTTCCCTGAATCCCTTCACTAAATATTACCCTGCTCACACTCCAACAGATCGTCAGGTCCCAAATACCATTCGTCTCCATTCACTCCTATCGAACACGCTCATGGTCCAAGCCCCTCACCCACAAAACCTCCCTCACCCCTTCCTTCCAACCTTTTCGAGGACGACCTCTACCCCGCCTTCCTTCTCCTACAGATTTAAATGCTCTCCATGTCATTCTACTTTGATCCATTCTCTCTAAATGACCAAACCACCTCAACAACCCCTCTTCAGCCCTCTGACTAATACTTTTATTAACTTCACACCTTCTCCAAATTTCCACACTCCGAATTTTCTGCATAATATTTACACCACACATTGCCCTTAGACAGGACATCTCCACTGCCTCCAACCGCCTCCTCGCTGCTGCATTTACCACCCAAGCTTCACACCCATATAAGAGTGTTGGTACTACTATACTTTCATACATTCCCTTCTTTGCCTCCATAGATAACATTTTTTGACTCCACATATACCTCAACGCACCACTCATACAATAAGTGTCAGGGGCCCGAGACTGTTCAACTGCCTCCCAGCACACATAAGGGGGATTACCAACAGACCCCTGGCAGTCTTCAAGCTGGCACTGGACAAGCACCTAAAGTCAGTTCCTGATCAGCCGGGCTGTGGCTCGTACGTTGGTTTGCGTGCAGCCAGCAGCAACAGCCTGGTTGATCAGGCGCTGATCCACCAGGAGGCCTGATCACAGACCGGGCCGCGGGGGCGTTGACCCCCGAAACTCTCTCCAGGTAAACTCCAGGTAAACTCACCTTTTTTCCTTCATCAGTTCTATGATTAACCTTATCCTTCATAAATCCATCCGCCGACACGTTAACTCCCAAGTATCTGAAAACATTCACTTCTTCCATACTCCTCCTCCCCAATTTGATATCCAATTTTTCTTTATCTAAATCATTTGATACCCTCATCACCTTACTCTTTTCTATGTTCACTTTCAACTTTCTACCTTTACACACACTCCCAAACTCATCCACTAACCTTTGCAATTTCTCTTTAGAATCTCCCATAAGCACAGTATCATCAGCAAAAAGTAACTGTGTCAATTCCCATTTTGTATTTGATTCCCCATAATTTAATCCCACCCCTCTGCTCCCTTATCCACTCTATCATATATATATATATATATATATATATATATATATATATATATATATATATATATATATATATATATATATATATATATATATATATATATATATATATATATATATATATATATATATCACACAAGATTCATTTTTTAATAATATGAAAACTAGTTTTATAAGACACTGGTAGGTTGTTTTATGAATAAACAAATAATTAATGCTTAATTACTAAATACTTTAAACAACACATTTTTTTATTAAGATACATTTATAAGCAATCCTACGAAAATATTCAGGCGATTCACGACGTACAACTTTAGTGACACCAGTTACTGGAATACATCGAACTGTTGGATGGGGAAGATGAAGCGCTAAACCCGTATGGGTTATACAGATCCTAGGGAATGGGAGCCAATCAGGTTTTGATTCGATGAAGGGAAGAATAGCTCCGGTTGTTTGGATGAAGAGCCCTTCCTTAGCATCAAGGCCCTCCTTTGTGAATGGATATCCCCGAAGGATCGGATCGGATCGAGGACGACGAGAGCTGTCGTAAGATGGGAAGAAAGAAGGATAAGGAAGGATGGAAATAACTGGAAAAGGATGGGGAGGAGGGGAAGAGGAGGAATCAAGGCAAGTGGCCCAACCACTTGGGGACATGTGGTACAAAAGTACTGGAGACGTAGATAGAGAGGCTTGACTGATGTCATTGCTTGGCTCACTAGGAGAGGATGGCGAAGGCAGCGTTGGTTATGGTCTTAAACCGTTTATCAGTGCGGTATATTGTTTTCGAGAGAGTTGTATCACACTTATGGGAGAGCTGTAGTAGTATTCGTTGGTTTGGAGGTGGTGGAGTATCTGGTTGTAGGTAGGGAATGGTCTTTCTTCGCTTTGGTATGATACAGTGTTGTCTTGGAGATGTTGGATGAGTTCTAGACGAGTCATACTTGCAGGGTATAGCCTCGTGGTGTAGAATTCGAGTCCTTTGTGTTTAAAGCATGGTGTTCCAGGTAATCGACGTGAGCTAAGTAGAGAAGGCGCTGGTGGAGTAGACGAAGGTGGTGTTGCTTCGTTTTCAACTTCAGTAGACGAATTACCCCTCAAGGAAGGTTCCTTGATGTTGGTGAGGGGCTCTTGATTTAGGGAATTGGATCTGTGCTCCAGTTCCCCAAATTAAGCCTGAATGCCTTCCACATCCCCCCAGGCGCTGTATAATCCTCCGGGTTTAGCGCTTCCCCCTTGATTGTAATAATAATAATAGTAGACGAATTAGAAGATGTTTCTGGTGGTAAGGCTTCTGATTGGTTGGATTCAGTGAGAGGTAATCCACTTACACAGCCCTCATGCAATAAAATGTTATAAGGACCTCAATGGAAATAAGTCACTTTCTCTGACTCTTTTGGGGCTGTCCAAGGTAATTTGCACGTATGTTACTGTGTATGATAATTGTAGTTGTGTGTACCTGATACCTAAATAAACTTACTAATGACAATCCAAAACTACCTCTTACGATACACCAGCTGAGCTCAACGTTTGAAGCCGATCACAGATCTTTTTCACACTTCCTGGGGTTATCCAATTTCCATCCGGTGGGGGGTTTCTAATATTGCATTCATGGAGAGCGCTAAACCGTAGGGGTCACGCAGTATCCGGGAGAATGAGAGGCAGTCAGGTTCAATCCAAGTAACGGGAAGGCAAACGCAGTTCCTTGGATCAATAGCCCCTTCACCGGCATGGGGGAACCTCCCTTGAGAGGCATCCAGTGGAAGGACAGCATTAGCAATGGAGGTTAAGTTAGAATGGGACTTACAGTGTTTCCTTTTCCCTTCTGTCCAGAGCTGAATTTCATAAAAGGAAAATATCTCCACTATTGAGGCCAAAAAAAGAGGGAGGGTTGGGGAGGGGGTTATTCAGATTCGATCCGATGAAGGGGAGGAGATCCAATTCTTCGGATCAACAGTCCCTTTACCTCAAAAACAGATGCAGTGGTCAAACCACAGCATCCCTTCACTTGAATAAAAACAGTGTATTGGGTTTAGCACTTCCCATTGGTGTTACCTTCAATTTTGCAAGTGCTGAATCACTTTGGAAAATACTACACCCATTGCTGCCCTTTTGATTGCCTCAGACTTTTACGGTCTCCCCCAGCTAACTAAAATTCGGATGGCTTCTATAACATAAATTTTTATTGGTATAAACCTTGGAAATTGAAACCGACAAACTGGTTTAGAGACACTGAGCAAACACAACACATCTTATCTTGGTGTCTGCTCACGTGTCTTTCTAAAACATTTATTATAGTCACAGAAAGGCGCTAAATACAAACGAGTCTGTCTTTCTCTGTAGCTGCAGTTTGTATAGTGTGTTATCCTACCTCTGCTTTAGTCACTACTGTGGTTTATGCATTGGACATGTGCCTAGCAGAGGTGCTAGGCGCCCCTCTGTGAGATACCCATTTGTGATTAGGGAAGAATGCAGAAGTAAATACCATAGATCCCCACAAACTTCAACTGGGCTAAAAGCCCAGTTGAAGTTTGGTATAAAACAGTTTATTAGTCACCGTTGAGGACTAGCAATAATGTCAGTGATCTTGTTATCTATAGTTAGTTAGTTTAATATGTTTATTATGCACCCCATACCCATCCTGTGGGCGGTAGTCAAAAGATTACAGAGGTACATAATGGGTCCAGGGACTGGGCCTCAAAGTTTTGATGGCTGAGCAAGTTACAGAGGTAATGAATTCACAATTTACAAAGGTAATGAACTCACAATTTACAAAGGTAATGAACTCCAGGTAGGTCTAGTCACAATCATGACAAGTTACAAAGGTATTAACAGATTATAGAGGTACACAATGGGTCCAGGGACTGGGCCCCAAAGTTTTGATGGCTGAACTAGGTACAAGGTAATGAACTCACAAGTTACAAAGGTAATGAATACTGTAAGAATGGTTACTTGCGTTTATACATGGCTACAATCATGAACAAATTTTAGAGTAATGAGCAATTCACACTTCCACACCCGGTCACAACTGGAGTGAGTTATTGGTGCAAATATTGATTGTTGAGTCACACACACACACACACACACACACACACACACAGATACTCAGTCAGATACTCAACCTGAATGTCGTTACTCCTTGCGTACCCGACAAGTAATGAGAAACCCGCAAG